AAAAAAAAAAAAAAGCTTTACTGTCATGTTGGAAAATTCCAAAACGTGTAGCCTGAAGAGCTCTGCAAAAGCCATCAGCTTTATAACTTGGATCAGCCTGCCTTGTCCTCCAGGATATCCTCTTCACTGTCCACTTAGAATGAGAGCAGAAAACTCAGAAATAAAGCAGCTCTAATAGACACCTTCATTATCTGTAGGAAGAAGTCCTTGGACTGCTTCATCTGTAAGATGAGAGAGTTATTCATATATGTTGCTACACTGGAAGTCAGTCTGAATAAAATACATGGGAAAGCTTGTAACTCTTGGTATACAGAAAAATTCTGTGTGCCCACAGAGAGCTCCTGGTACAAGCAGGTAAGCTATCCCATGGCACCTGCTTCACTGCCACAAGCACCAGCAGCTCCCTTTGGGGCTAGGAACTGAGACTAGAGGTAGGCATGGGAAATGCAAGAATTACCCATTACTACTGACAGGAAATGTCCCCACTGGGTAACACCCTCACATCTGTGCATGTGCAAATGTATAGGAATCTAAAAGGGCAAGAAAAAGCAGAACAAGCAAAGTACTTGAACTGCACATTAACTGTAGAAGGAAGGAATCCACCCATTAGAGATGGAAAATGCAGAAAGGGACAATATTTTGTATCTTTGCATGGGCTCTCTCTCCTGCCCAAAAGTTAGCAGCATCATTAGCACCAGCAGACTTCCCTTACCTCTCTGAGGTGCTGACACAGGGATGATGGAATGGGGTTTCCCAGAAGTTCACTTTTCAGAAATCTTCACAGCCGTGCTGGACACAGGGCCACCACCTCCATATCCCACACCAGACCTGCAGAGCTCTGTCCCCACCCCAATACTCCTATTGGCCCAGAATCATGTAGATGACACACACACACCTTTGTCCCCAGCATGAGAAATACGTCTGGAAATCTCCCATTACATTTAATGCAAAGATAAAATCAACTCCTGAAAATAAATTAATCTCATTAAAACTGAACCTAGACCAGATCCAGGTGGGGGAATGTATCCATTTATTTCTACTAATTGTGCAATATCCCATCTGCTGTTGCTGAAAATGTCTGCCTTCCACATGCCCATGTCACCCCCCAACTATTGAACTGTTTCACAGTTTTTGAGTTCTTATTCTCTTCCAAACAGGATGTGTAAATAGAAAAGAAATTGGCAGAATGAAACACACGCTGATATAGCTGTTTATTCCCCTCCCAGCTGAGTGACTGGGGATTAAAAACACCAAAGCAGGTGTTCTGCTGCCACCACATGGTCGTGAATAGACCTAGGCATTTTTAAAATAAAATGCTTCCTCAGAATGCATCAATTCACTGAGCCTATCATTTTTACATATTTCCCTAACATGCCTTCAACTTCGGTTTCTTGTACCAAATCCATCAAATTCCCAGAGTTCCAACCTGGCTGCTAGGTCTGCTCTGCAACCAGGTGGCATCCAGAGATGTGAGGTGTATTCAACTCTGTTTCTCTTTTTGTTGAAAGCAAACAAGTTTGTGATATACCTGATTTAAAAAATCTCTGCAAACAAGTGAGGAAGAGTTGGAAGTGGTTTTATATTTTGGTGACAAATATTTCCAACAGTTCATTCTCTCAGGAGTAAATTCTGGGTTCTATTAGTGAAGAGTGATGTTATTTGTGATGCAGCCAATATTTTTGTTCAGGGATGTCAAAACCACCATCATTGAGGTCTTGAAGTGGCAAAAGGCTTTCATTTCAAAATAGTCAGAGAACAAGTATTAGGATGATTCAGCTCCCTACCATAAAGAAGGTTATAATTAAAACATTTATTGTCATCATGAATATCAAGAGAATGTAATGACCCCACAGTTTAAAACCACTTAGTAGGTTGAAGATAGTTCCTCAGGCTTTCAGTGTAATATCAATCCTTGATTATCAGTGAAGTGCAATATGGGTGGATGGGACCCACTGTTTAGAGTGAAAATGAGCTGATTCCCCTTTACAATATCAGTCTCACCACATGCTTGCTACTTTGTCCCTCAAGGTAATTTACAAACAAGAGTTACTGTCATATATTACTCCTTCTCCAATCTGCCTTAAAGGGACAGATTTTTAAGGCAGGAATGTCAAAAATATCAAGGTCTACATTGACTTTCTCATCCAACATGAAAAACTGACTTAAACATTAGCATTTGGGATGATCATTTTCAGCTGTCATTGATATTACTTGACCAAAGTTCAAGAAAGGAATTGCCACAATAGCAGCCTGTATTCTAAGGAGCCATTTTGGTAACTCAAATTGCTGTCATTTATTGCACTCTAAAATACTTCAGTTGACATATGTCAGTGCTTTATTGTGATGGTTTTGACCTCGGTGAAGAACTCATATGAATCCTTTGCTCCCTCCCTGCCTATGCCTGAGGCTTTCATCCCACCAAATGGCAAGTTCAGGTCTCTCACAAGCCAGCAGTTGGTCCACACCAATCCAGACTGAAGCCTGTGTGCCACCCTGTGAACACGTCCCACGTCGCTGGACCACACCGTGGCTGCCAAGCCATATTTCACACCATTGGCTCTTCTGATCACCTCTTCTTCTGTATCAAATGCTACCACACATGTCACAGGACCAAAGATCTCTTCTTGCATGCAACAAGATTCATCCTTGACTTCAGCAATAACTGTGGGCAACATGAAATAGCCTTTCTGGTTGCCAGGTGGGAGGGCTAAAGGATCCACTCCCTCTCCACAGAGGACTCTGGCTCCTTCAGCCTGGGCTTTCTTCACGTAGTTCCTTACCTGGGGAAGCAGCAGAAAAACATCACTGCTAAAGGACACCAAATCCCAAGTGTTTACATATCAGCAGGAGCCTCTGAACAACTCCAGCTGGAACATGCTGCCCTTTTACAATAGAGGGCAGCATTCCCTAAGTTTCATTGTTATGCTTCTTTGTATGCCAAGCTGTGTATTTCTTGCTGAAAAAAGTAATTGTTTTCTCTTTTCTAACGTTTTCTAGCCTAGCAGACAACACTGCTGGCCCTTCCCACTAAGTATTGTCAAAAAGGTAGGACCATTGGTGAAAATATAAGTGGTTCCAGAGCCTCCCTCCCTTCTCTCAGGAGCCTGGGTAGTCTGCCATGTATCCCACACCATGGTTTCACTCATTTACTCCAAGGAATCAGCAGTATTTTCCTGCCTCACAGGCAAGGCTTTTTAAATGGTTACATGCCACTAGGATGATGAAGCTATGAATGCTACAGAAAATCTCATCAATAAATGATTAAAGATGTTTCCGTGGCTGCTGCTACCATATGCTTGCTACCTTGAACACATTGGATGTACTGTTGATCTGCTTCTGCTGTTCTGCAGTTGTTGCCTGGCTTCTCTCCTTACAGAAAGACCACAGAGATACCACAGGACTTCCTTAGCTTTTTCTTCTTTTAGGCACCTTGGCAGGTAAAACTTGGAAGCTCTCTGTGGTGCTACAGACTAAGGACCTCAGGAAGTGGGTGTTTCTACCACTCTACTTCAGAGCAACAGAACTTGGAGAGGCATCAGGAAAGCATATCAAAGGTCTGGCTTTCTCTCACTCTGTGGTTTTTGGGTCTGCTACTTGCGTCAGAGATTTCTGGGATATATGCATCTGCTCTCCCTGAACTCTGACACCACAACTTTCATTTCATATAAGCCACTAAAGCAGACTGTGTCTAACTGTGCACCATCTCAGCTGCTCTCCACACATTGCAAATTACTGCAAGCAGTTCTAGGAAAGTGTTTTCTACAAGCCAAAATTTGCCAGAGTGATATAAAAATAAAACTTTTAACTTGTCAACTAGTTCAACTTATTAGGCCAATTAGTGATCTTAGCAAATGCATCATTAAAATTGAAGAAAATGTTGTTGAACAACATTTGTGAGTATAAATTCAGGACTATTTGTGAGTATAAATTCAACCATTAGAATTATCACATTCAAACAGGAGGAAATATTCTTTTGCTATTTTAAATTATTTTCCCCGTGGAGTTTGACTTTTTTTCAGAGCAATCACATGATCCCAAGCCACAGGCAAAAGAAACTTCATTAAAAAGATACCTTATAATGGCTTTGAGTTATCATCCCTCAGAGCTAATTTTGGAGATGACAAGATTCTTTCCTGCATAGTCCTGAAACTCCCTTTTGTAGCACTCTAAAACATGAGATGAAGTCACATAAACTCCATATAACATCACCTTTTGTAGATGCTCTTTACTTATTAGTGCTCCCACATCGATTGTAGGATCTGAGGGATTCCCAGTCTTCCACTTCTTGGCCTCTGCCACAAACCTCTTCAAAAACTCACTGTATATTTCCCTCTGAACAAAGATCCTGGAGGTGCAGAGACAGATCTCACCCTATCAAAAAGAAAGAAACAAACAAGATATCAACTATATTGGCTCATATAACATTGCACTATTGACATGTATTAGGAATTACAACCCAATTACTTGTTTCCCCGCATCCTCAGGAGCGCAAACTACGTTAACCAGCACTGCAACGTGGGATTTTTTCCAGATAAAAAACGAGAGAAGGAAAAGGCAAAACACTATCAGTATCATGCAATCACTGCCATAAGTAAATTTAATTTTATCAATTACATGTTTACTTCTCCAACATATTTTATAGGAAGCATGATTTGTAACTCTGAATGATCTCTCTCTTCATTTTCTGATACTAAGCTATTTTTCTAACACTTGCCCAGATACAATTTCCTGGCTTTGGTGCTCTCTCCTGAGGGTGATGGTGAGGGAAGAATAATGTTGGTAAAATTTTGTGGGAAGTCCCCTAATTTAGTTCTAACAAATGAACAAGCTTCCCACTTACTTACACAGTGGGACTTAAAGCAGCTGCTTCCCTGAGAGATAAGAAACGAATGTACTTTGAGAGGAGCAATAACACCTTGTTATCTTCTGATGGAGAGTATGAAGACGAGCATTTTATTACTTTGTTTTCCTCCTTGTGGAATAATGAAACCTTTTTCATATTTTTCTACTTAGGACTTTCTCAAACACAATCTTGAAATAGACCTTGACAATTTGAGATTCAGACCCAAAGGTAGGCGCAGCACACACACAAGCCCTCAGACACGGTCCCATCCTGCTGCCAACGGGGTTTATGTGTTATAGGAGCAGGAGGCACCTGGTTGGCAAAGCTGGACCTCACGGTGGTGGGGATGCACTGGCTCAAGTCAGCATCACTGAAGATGATGGCGGGGTTTTTGCCTCCCAGCTCCAGCGAGAGCCGCTTGCAGTGTGGAGCGCTCTTCTCTGCGATCCGCTGGGCCGTCAGCGTGCTGCCCGTGAAGGAGATGAGAGGCACGTCAGGGTGGCACACCAGGGCCTCTCCTGCCTTGGGGCCTGTGCCAAACACGATATTCACCACCCCAGCAGGCACCCCTGATGGGAAAAAAGGCACGCGGTCATTGTACCCTCCTGTCGCTCCAAGGGTGTCACTACACTTTGTTTTGTCCCTGAAGTTAGAAAGTTACCAGCAGCTCATGGGTGAACTATACTAACCCTTAACTTCAGTAGTAGCTGAAATCCATTCTGTTAGACAGCTCTATGTGACATGGGTTAAATGATAAAACCACTTCCACGAATCAAGCTTGTCTGACGTGCATCATCAGAGATGCAGTGTACAGTCATTCAGGGAATAAGCAATTGTTCTCCCAGTTTTAATTAACAGTGCACCAAATACAGCCGTGACACAGTTACCAAGAGCTGATTCTCACTCCTTTATTCTCTCATGGCTCCTTTGCTTGCACCACAGACTTAGGACATCCATAAATGGAGTGCAGGAGGCACAAAACTTTTCATCAGAAGATAGTGGAAAAAAATAAGCAACAGCTGGACTGGGGAAGACAGGATAGCATGAGGACAGAGAAAGCCTTTTGTTCTCCAGTGCAACATTCAGCTACAGCAGTCTTTCCCAAAGCCTTTGAGCACCTCCTGATTTTGGAAACTAAAAAAAAACTGGTGCACAGACAAACATTTCCACTCTATTCCTGTTCCTTAGCATGCTACAGTACTTACCTGCTTTCTCCAAGAGTTTGCACATCATCCAGGCTGTAACAGATGTCATCTCACTTGGCTTGGCAACCACAGTATTTCCACATGCAATGGCAGGAGCTATTTTCCAAGTCAACAAGTACAATGGCAAATTCCAAGGACTGATTAAACCAGCTACAAAATAAAACCACAAAGACAGGTCAGTCTGCTGGGATACAAAACTCATTTCTCTGACCTCAAGCAGTTATACACCAGTTCAGATCTATGAAGGGAATTCAAGCCATGGCTTTTATTTCCAGACAAATGTACAATAAATTTGCAGCATTCCTCACAGCGAGATAACTTCTTAAAAGACCTGTGCAAATGATCCTAAAAGAGATCAGCTGAACTCTCTGAATAAGTTTTGCTGCTTCTTCAGGACGGAATCTTATATTCTCAGGAAGTTTTTCGTGTTTTGCAGGAACATTAATGCAAGGTTAGCCATAACAATAATTTACAACAGTTTTGTCTGTGGTAATACTTTATGTTAACAAAGAGCAAGTGAAAGTAATTATAGAATGGTTTGGGTTGAGAGAGTCCTTAAAGATCATCTGGTTCCAAAGCCCCAGGGACACATTTCACTAGAACAGGTTGCTCAAAGCCCCATCCAACCTGGTCTTGAACACTGCCAGGGGTGGGGCATTGTCCATTTCTTCAGGCAACCTGTACCAGTGCCTCATCACCCTCACAATAAAGAATTTCTTCCTAACATCTAATCTAAATCTACCCTTGTTCACTTTGAAGCCATTACCTCTTGTCTTATCACAACATGTCCTTGTAAAAAGTCCCTCTCTTTTAAGCTTTCTTGCAGGTCTCCCAAGAGCTTTCTCTTCTCCAGGCTGAATGTGCCAGCTCAGATCATATTCCTGCTTCCTCCTGCTCTTTAAAGCTAGTTCTTATTTTTCAGTTTTAATATTAAACAAACTCTGTATAACATATAATACACATTTTCCAGATAAATTTTAGTCTAACTTATGAGTGTTAGAATTTATCTCTATATAAACTGTTGTTCCTATGAATTGCTGAATAATCAGAATTATTTCCAGTAATTGCCTTTAGGAATATTTTCACTTTATATATTAATAGAAAATTATGAAAATAATCTGTAATTGTCATGTGTGACTCCTTACAAAAGCCACATGATTTCTTTCTGTTTGATGGAGCAGATTCAGTGAAGGACTTTTCCTTATGAGAATACTTTTACCAGAAAAAGTCATGTTCTTCACTGCTCAAGAGAAGTTTTAATGGGTCCTCTAAGATAGCCAATTTTATGTTAAACGTAATTCAAGTGTAAATGTGGAGAACTCTCATATTTAATGTTATATGTTATTTGTACTGTATGTATAACATAACCTAATAATGAAATCGTTACAACACGGTTACTTGTCAGCTCAGGACAACCACTTTGTTTTCTGAAGCAGCAGCAGCATCTAGTGGCCGAGTTCAGCAGTTCCCCAGCTAGAGTGGTTTCTTCATCCACGTGGACTCGGGTCACAGACTACTACTGCTTTCCCAAAGGAGAGGGGGGATCCCACTCTCCCCACTGAAGCAGGAGCTCAGTGCTCTGCCCATCGCACTGATCCACAGCTGTAATGCTCACCCACAGACACACAGAGACAAAATACAAGAGAGATTGTGAAGGTGAGAGCAAGAGATTAAGCTTTTTAGTCTTTTTTCTTTTTTTTTTACCATGAAGTTACATAACTGATTTTACATGGAGTTGCCGATGCATTAGCAGACAAGCCCATGTTTAGCAAATGACTCTGAGATAATAAATGCTTTCAAAAAAATCTTTGCTGAGCCCCTACGGAGGCAGACATTCTGCCAAGCTTTTCAGCATGTGAGGATCATCATACCAACTCCCACAGGTGCCCTCGAGGTGTAGTGCACACAGCCCATGGCTGGCATTTCGGTGCACTCTGTGACGTGATGAAGGATGGAAGAGGCGAAGAATCGAAAGTTGTACACGGCCCGAGGGATGTCCACCGTTCTGGCAAATGTAATAGTTTTTCCTGAAACAAAAACAAACACGTTGCTGTCATCATGGAGAGAAACACTGCTCTATAGTCTGCTCTGAAAGTTGATTTTTGTGTCTTTTGGGAAATGTCTTTTGTCCTGTGCCCAAGTAATCACAGTAAGCACAGTACAAACGTAGTCAATGATAACAGCTCCCCTCTAGTAATTCCAAATATCTGACAACTGAAGTCAAAGTCAGCAATTCTGAAAAGCAAGACTCGCCCAGGAATCCCAAATTCAAAACCTCCTCAAGGTTCATCCATATCTACTCCAATCTGCTGCAACAGTTCATGCTATAAAAAAATTAAAAAAAAAAAAAAAATCATCCAAATCCTCCATTTTAATATTCAGCAAGGCACACTTATTTGAGATCAACAGTTCCAGTTCTTACCCTGATCCTTTGACTCTGCTTGTGCGAATGCTTCCAGGTCATGTTCAATCAGGTCTGCCAATTTGTTCAGGATCTGAGATCTTTCCAATGGACTTTTTGAGGACCAAATTGGGAAGGCATCTTTGGCAGCTTTGACAGCAGCTTCCACCTAAAAAAGCAAAATAAGGATGGTGAATGCTAATGAAAAGATTAAAAAAATATTAAACAATAAGCAGATAAATTCATATTTCAGAGACTAATAATCCAAACCACATTGCTGGGGAGATGACAATTCCTTAGAACTTCTCCATTGTTATCAAGACACTACCTCATAATTCAATAAGTATTACTGAATCAGAATATCTAGAAAATATCTGGAATTCTTGTTTTTCTCCAAATTACAGCAACTTGTGGGCCACCCTCCAGGTCTGAAAGAAATGCTGGAATGGTCAACTGGAACCAGCAGGTGCCACTGGCCAAAACAAAAAGTATCTTTTTTCTCATAGAGGAAAGAGCAAGAATCTCCCCAGAGCAAATGCAGCTTCAGTCTAACCATGCATAACCCTTGCAACATAAGACCTCAGCCACAGCAGGCAGTGATGAAAGTTAAGGGGCTGGATCCTCTGCTAGCTCTTGATTTCCACCATTTGGATCAAGCAAGGACTAAGAATGTATTTAGGGAATGGACACTCAGAGGAAAATTTTATCTTACCTGATTACAGTTAGAAAGTCATTAATGCCCTCACAGAAAAAAAAAAAGGTCCTTTTTCAACTCTGGGGTTTAGTGAGTTCTCTTACTAGACACCTAATAAAGCCTACAGGTAAGAATTATTGTAAGTGTTCATACAGAGACACACCACTCCTGTCAGGATTTTGCTTGAGATGTACATGACTGCTGTACAGTCCTTCAGCCTGACATTTCTGAACATTGGCAGATTACCAGCACTTTTCTGAAGCAGACCTATCTTCAAAGGATTGAATTCAGCAGGCGGCTTTCTGTCCCATCAGTCATTTCCTCTGGACTCTTAAATGAAGTTACCTGCATCGTTCATCTGTTGATTTATAAGCAATTCCTTTTTCATGTTTACCAGTCTCACACAAACTAAAGATGGTCATCAATATCCTTCCATATTTTAATTAACTGCCCCATTTCCCTACTTTTGCTTCCTATGTAATGCTTATGCCATACTCCCAATGTCTAATGTATGTATCAAAGTGATGGTTTAGTCAAAGCTGCCTTAGCTGAGTTTCTAAAATTTTGCTCGTACAATTTCTTCAGTTTTGGAAATCTCCCAAAATCATTAACTAGGAGGATGCTGATGTAATATTGATCAGACTATTATGACCTCTCTGAATGTTCCCATATTGCTAGTTCCCATGAAGTCACTGAAGGCTCCTTTCCACCAATTCCACAAAACTGAGTTTCAAAATTTGTTCCTTCAGATTGTGACAGGTCTTATAAAAAACATCACAAAATAACTTACAGATACACCAAAGACTTTCTTACTAATGAGGGCACAAAAGTTCAAGTAAGCAAAAAAATAAAATCTATCTACCCCTTCTTCCCCCTCCCACACACATCAGAATTTATGGGCCCTGTAAAAATAACACCCAGAGTTTGAAAGCCAGACCAGCACTAAGGGGGCAAGGTGGGAAATGAACCAACGTGCAGAGAGTCACATGGATCACTGGCCAAGCTCAGAAACCTAGACTCTTCTCTTTCGACTGTAGTTCAACAACCTCCTGCTCATGTGCCGATGGCAGCAGGCTGTCAGCCACTGAGCACCTGAAGCAGGACCAAACTAGGCCTGGGAAAGGGGAACTGCAGCTTCCTGAGTGAGTCCAATGCAGATACCATGCTACCCTAAAAATGTTCACCTTCTGTGAAACCATACCACCTTCACCTAATGGTTCTTCCACCCTCCCATCTTGTGCTGCTGCTGCTGCTCATCTGTCCTTTCTTCTGTGGCCTTTTCCACCAGCTGCTGCCAGGAGAGGAGACGGTCAATACTGTCTGCATTTTTGACCCTTCAGTGGGTTTAGAAGAAGGACAAAAATACTGCTTTTTCACAAACAGCAGAAGAGAAAACCAGTAAAGGAAGGAATTAGGTGGCAGTAGATTCATCAAATAAAAAGTAAGGGGAAAAAAGGAGAGAGATTTGTAGAGAAGAACTAAGCATACACAGGTTAAACAGTTACTTAGTTTGACTAGCAAAAACCAGCAAAAAAAGTAAAGCCACAAAGAAAGCACACATAAGAATTGAACTATGAACTCCTGTGTCTGAAACACTTCCTTCTGCTTTCCTCTTCTGCATGAGACAGACATACAGAAACAACACACAATCCAGACCCACCATAGAAGGCTCCTATCAAAATACCCCATGCCGAACTGCCCTCAGGACAAGATGTTTGCTTTTGCAGGGGATGTGCAGTAGCCAGGTTCTTTAAAGAGAAGTGTTTTTAAAGTAGATGTTTACCAGGACTAATTAGTCCTCATCAGCCTGTCTTTTGGATATGCAGGGCACTTGCTTGTCTTGCTGTGGTATTGCTATGTAGAATTTAAGGTATTAGCTGGGAAACAAACTAACCCCTAGGAACAAAACTCCTCAGTGTTTTTGGCAGAAAGTTGCTAAAATGGCCACAACAGCTGACCTGGTGTTAAACTCTGGGGTCAGCAACAAACTCACTGTCTCCCCTTGTTTCATCTAAGTTCCCAATAAAATTTACCAAGATAATATGCAACTGAACACTGAGCCTTGCTAGAAACCAGCACCCTGAGTCCTTCGCTGAACTCTGGTCTACATGTTTATTTGGTATCTCTAGATAACCTCAAATAGTATGAGATTGCATTTTCTTCAGCATATTCCATCAGTCACCAGCACATGCCAGCTCTGCAGAGCACAACCCTCTTGCACAGTTGTCTGAAGGCAGGACTAAAGCACTCACCAAATTTATACGTCTTTAAACTGGGCTCCCATTGCTGAGAAAGAGAGAAAGAGAAAGCTAAAAGAGAAAAGCCTGACTGAGATAGCTAAAAGAGAAAAGCCTTGCTCTTAGGATGCTTGAACTATATCTCTAGAGTGGCCAGCAGCCTCTGGCATTCTCAGATCTTTCTGGTTTTAATGATTTTGCAAATGAACAGACAAGAAGATTTACACCTGCACATCAAAGAGCAAACTTTTCAGGCATAATTAGGATTGGAATGAACTTACACAGATGTATTCCAACAAACCCAGCCTGTTATTCTTTAACCCTTGGTCATCAGCATCTAACAAATATTTACCCAGGTGAAATTAGAGTGCAAAGTTTTCTGCTGAGAGAAGCTGTCAATAAGGCTGAAATGCAAGCAAAGGGAACAGCTACACACTGTAGTAGTCTGTTTTAAAAAACATTTTCAAAATGCTGTCTGCTATTTGACAATATTTTCCAAGCCCTGTGTGCTATCCAAGCCTGTCCAGTCACTTTCCTCTTCAGTAAGTTTGAAACAATATTTTGGACACAGACTTGTAGGTCCCCTATAAAGCAGCATCAATGAAACTGCAGCTCCCCTGATGAACATCATTGCCTATCCACACCTACAATGTTCCAGGAAACATTCAGCCCAGTAGAGAGCTCAAGACCAGGAAACCCTATGGATGCAGAGGACAAGGTATGTTATAAGGAAACACACTCATCACAGCTACTGAATATCCAACTGCTAATATCAAAACCACAGAGGTCTGAAAGATTTTTACCATCTTCAGAGAAGAGACATCAAGCCAAAAACCCTTTTAAATTAAAACTGCAAATCTTCAAGACACTAAGGGAGAACACAGTTGCATATGGTGCCTCTAAATTTATTTACAGAAGATATCAATAAACACTGTTCTCACAGATTGTTTATATTTACAGCCTGTCTGGGTGTTATTGTGAACTTACTCACAAGGCATCTCCCACCATGTGAGCTAAAGGAGATCCACACAAATTACTGAAGCTTTATTGATTCACACCAGCTTAGAATCCAGACCATAACTTTCTAATAGCAAAATGTGACAAAAATTTCAGCATTTGCTGCCACAGCAGTGCATTACACCATACTACAATATAATCAAGAATTTACTTGTTTAAGCATTGGAGTCATCATTTTTCTGTTCTCTCACCTCCACCGTCTCTCACTCAAAAGGTTATTGTTACATGCATTTAACATTTTTCACTTTTCTGTACATGTGGATAGTACTCACCTCTCCCTTGCCACTGTCTGGAACCCTGCAATAGACATCTCCAGTGGATGGATTATAGGAGTCTATGTAGGAGGAACAAGGAACAAATGTGCCACCTATGAAGTTTTCCAGCACTAAGAGAGCCTTTGAATGAGCCATTGTTGGCTGCTTACTTCACCTGTGATTTTTTTTTTCAACGAGGCATCAATTTAGATTAATATGTCTGTAGGTATTTGCACAGTGAGTCCAAACTCCTCCCCATCTCCATCTTCCCTGCACCACTTGTTTACAAGTGGGAACAAATCCTGGCAACAACAGCAGGAAAGAGCAAAGGGGAAAAAATTAGTATTACTGTGACACATAAGTTCTTTTCTAGGAGTTGAACCAAAGAGGGAAAAACAGCACAGTTACTGGAAGCCGGCTTTTCTCTGTCTGTAAGAAATGAAGTACTGAAAAAAAGAGAGAAAATGAATGGTTTGAGGCATTTTCTACCTGTATCAGTTTTTGAAGTTACAGTTTGAAGATATTTTGCAACAACTGAACAAAATAATTCATCACTCAAACATCTGGCCAGGAACCTGCTTCTAAGTGTCAGCAGACAAAAGACACTTAAGACCAGCATGTCTGCAGCTCATGTTCACTGTTCCATCAATACTTTTCCTTGTATCCCAAAACCAGTGCACCTAAGAACCAAAAGATTTTAAGTAACAAGAAACTCTTTTCCACTAATATCACCAAACATGAAACAACAGCTTCATGACCCCTCAATTCAAACAGCTGAGAAGCACAATCCTACCTGATACACTCTTATATGCTGTCAGAAATTCATCAAGTTTTTTCTCCCAAAGAAAGCAAGACACTGACTATCATGCTTTCCCTTCCATAGATATTCCAGCAGAAGCCACTTTACTATAGAGAAGCCTGTTACATATAATTAATTTTTCCATTAACTTCCCAAGACCCAAAACTGCCCGGTAAGAGCTGTGTAAAAGATATTTTCTCCAAGACAATGCTGAGGATTATCAACTTGCTTTAAGATTGTGTGCCACCTCTTTGCTCTCCAGAGATATTCAAAAAACTACACCCAGAGAGCAGTATGTTCTCACCAGGAGATTGTGAATATCTCAGTCAGAAGTTTAGGAAGATTTTGCATCCTAGACAACTGGCAAGCCACCAAGTTTCACATGGATCAACATGTAATCATATTTTGATTGAAGAAAGGTGACACACTTCTATTGCACAACAACAGATCATTTATGCTTCAACCAAGTGGCACCTCTGGGCAGAGTTCAAATCTGTGTTGAAAGGCAGTGCAGTCACGTTGCAACTGGATTATGTAATACCTCTGCTTCTCCCAAGCTGCAAACTAGGAAAGCATGCAGTAGCTTTTCAGGCATCATAGAAAAGTGAGCCTCAAAATTTAATCCAAACATGTGTGAGAAGAGTTATCAGAGCTTTGCCTTTGTCCATAAACAGTAAGGAATTTATGCAAGTCTTAGAACTGAAGACTGTAACTGCCCCCTGACTTAAGGGCGACCTAAACATTTTCAAAGTTTGAAAGGCAAGCTCAAGTGGAACCGGTTCAATGCAGGAGCTTGGCAGTATAAACCTCTGGCATCCAACAAGGGCACCTAAACCTTCACAGTGGCATGTTGAAACTGGTAAATATTTAAATGCAATTTTTGGTCTATAAAAAGACATAATAAATAGTGGTAATTAATAAACTTGTCAGTAACAGTTTGCAGGTATTTCAGTTTCATAAGCTTTTACAGAAGTCATTTCCACATAAAGCATTGCTGATACTTCTACAAATATCCATGCTGTCAACAGTACAATTCAACTATGTGGTCAAGTGCAGGTAGCTGCTGAATTGAGGCTAAAGTACCTAAACTCAAAAAAAGTTATCTACCAAAAAAAATCACGTGGGAAGAGTAGGTACAGGCCATAAAGGACTGTGAACTAAATAAGAACTATAGCATTTTTGTGGTGTTCACTACTCTGGACACAGTTTTACTTCAGTTAATCCCCCTAGACCGATGCTCTGGAGCAAGTGCTTCAGTTCCTGCCTCCAACTACTAACTCGGGGCAAAGGTGAATTGTCTCCATTATGCATTCAGGTCCTGAAATACCTGAGGTCCTCTCAAAATTCCTACCAACATAACTTCCAAGTTGTAGTAAAGTGTGTCTGTCCTGAGCTGGAGGTGGCAGAAGGACCCTCCTTTCAGCTGGGAGGTTTCATCTGCCCCGTTACTGAAAAGCGGGAAGGACTTACAGGCATAAGTCAGCACAATTTGGCTTTAGCAGACACCACAAGATTAAACTGTCAGCCTTTGTTCAAAAGAGCCCTAAGTATGGATGAAAGAGATGTGTATGTGCAGTGGCTGCACTGAATAACATGTGAAAAACTGAAATTATTTCTTCAGAAAGCCCAGTTGGATGCCAGTTTCGCATTTTAAGTCATAAGTTTACTCTGAAACTTCTCAGTTATGGTAAGTGAAGAATGATTTAACATGATTTAGGAGTGTTTAAATAACAAAAGATGAGGGAGAGAAAAATGCTCAGACAAATTAATTTTATTATTCTTACTGTTTAAAAAATAAAATTAGCCAAAGTTGGCACAGCTTCCACTACACAGCAAAAGAAAATTTCTTTTTCCTTAAATAAATTTTGGGACACGGAAAACAATCCCATGATAATACTACATGCCATTCTCTTGAAAACAAGGTAAATAGTTGGGTTTTTTTCCCTGAATATGCATTCAACACAAACCTAAAAATATTTTAGACCAATAAAGTTATTTTACTGAATTGATGTGCAGCAAAAAAGCAATCAAAGAAAACATGTAAACAATTTATGTTTGGAAGTAAGGAGCTTGTTTCATGATAATTCATCATCTTTTTCTCTAATTCAGTTTTCTAATGTTTTTCAATCAACTTCTCTAAGGGCTAAGTTCCACATGGAGAAACTCATGAGATTCTTGAGATCAAGAAGTGCAACACCTGCAGTTCCTTGTCAGTTGGCATCTTGTTCTGCAGCAGGAGAGCCTGATGAAGGGATCCCCAGATGTCTCAAACAATTTGAGTTTTGTCACCACTATCTTCTCCCCAGTTAATTGCACTTGTTCCTTCAACTGAAATAACTAGATTCTTATACAGAAGTTTGGATATCTGATTGAGTTTTGCTTGGACGGTGGAAATTCTGTCACCACTGTCATTCTTTAATCTAAAAATATAAGCAAATGGAAAATTAAGTACTGAGTGTAAAATGATCTCAATGTTTTTCAGTATTTTATAGTTGTGGAAAAAATAATTCCTTTTCCACTTAAATTCTCAGAACAAGAAGACAATTACTAAAATATCAAATTCCAAATAACATCTCAAAGAGGTTATTTAGTCTCAATTCTACAAACATTAATCTAGCTCTAAATATTGCAGATCTAAATAGAATCCCGCTCATCTCAAATTTAGTGAAAAATGGGTTAAATCCATCTCATTTCTGGATCTTATTTAAGACCAGACAGATTTTTAGGAGCATTATACATCCATAAGGCCTCTGACTGACCTAGCACATCATTCCTTATGCATACAAGGAGAAACCAGAAAAGTTCATGCCCAAATTCTAAGTTTTGACATTAAATGACTCAGGCTTAAATTCTCAGTACCAGAACTTGGTTAATGCACAAGATTTTTTAAAGGGACAGATAGAGCGACATTCACATTTTTTGCTTCTAGTAGAAGATAGAACATTTATGTTTAGCCCCACAGTCTTTGCTTCCTCTCGCACAGAATAAGAAAATGTTTTTTGGCATCAGTAAGAATCAAATGTACACCTGCCTTTAATGACAACAGAAAAAGATGTTGGACCCAATCTAGACACAGTTAAAATGGCCAACACTTCTTATTTAGAAACTGCTTCCAGTATATTCATGCAGGCAGATTTCAAAAGACTGATGTATTTCAACTCAAGGGGAAAGAGGGGAAATTCTAAACACAGTAATTTTTACTCCTAATAAATTAAACAGAATTATGACAAGTTTTCCTCACATCTTCCTGCAGCACTGTCTCTTTTTTAGCAGAAAAAAATTCACTCTTTGGGCTAGAGGGTGTAATACAGGTCTTAACCATAACATCATTCCTCTGCAGTACAAAGAGTCTATTACAAAAATGCCATACCTCTGTAACAACTCCTGCAGCAATAGTGGAACCACTGTAGCGTAACATAAACCTCCCCAGTTCTTTAAAATCTTTGTACAACTCTAGAGCAACAGGTCTTTGAGTTTGTAGTTCTATTAGAGCATTCTGGCCTTTAGCCAAGAACCTGCAGGTAGAAAAGCAGAAAACTCTATTAGAAGTGTATGCACAGATAAATGAAGAAAAAAACAATGAACAAACAGGAAAAATCATTTTAGAAAGCCCAGAGTACAATTATCAAACTTGATTTCAAGTATAACCCAAGTCTTGATACTGAAAACTGATTTGCTTGGAGTATACATTTTAATAAGGCATCTAAGTTTTCTTCAAAAACTACTTGGCACAACACAGCATTTAACAAATTGTTTTGAAGCTAATTATCTCATTAACACCTGTTTTGTCATGTCAAGTGGAAATCAAGTCTTGTTTCAACCCACAACTAAAGAGCCCATTCATTACTTTGTAGAAGTCTCCAGCAGTTTCAGCCATGAATTTTCTGGAAAAGGATTATTCTGAAAATGCTGTATGTCTCAAATAGCATTTCTATATTAATTTAAAAATATTTTTTTAAATAACTAGAGGGCTGTTCCTATAGTTGTATGGGAAGATTCTCTAAATTTCTTTTGCAATGACACATTGTCTAGCCAAGTGTGTTCTAGGCAGTTAACCATCTCCAGAATTATATAAGGATCCCATGCTTTAACAGTAAAAAAAGAATTACTGTTTCAAAAACAAATAAAAAAGAGAGGGAGAAAAAAAATCCTTTAAGTTAAGCACTGCTGACCTAGGATTCATTCCCAATTATGCAAGTGACCTTAGGCCTAAATCACTACACTTCTCAGGTGCTCTGCAGTTATCAAGGGGCAGGAGATTTTTCAGTTTGCAAAGCACATTGAAATCCAAACATGAAACCAACTAAAACAATAAAAGCATATTCTTATAACATACAATTGATTCATAGTAGAACCTGTCTGATATACATCAACCCATTTCTTGAGTAATTATTAACTATTCATAACACTTACTTAGGTTTTTTCTTTGTCACTTCACCAGTACTTTTGTGCAGGACACTCAACAGTCTTGTAATAGTAGCAGGTTCACTTACTGTTTGATAGTGTAAAAGCACCTGAAAATATTTTTTGCAGTTATTAAACATCATATAATAAAATCAGCAATCCTAGATATTAATAGTTGAAAACAGCAGCTTGCTTTAAGACTGATTTTTTTAAAAACAAATACCTATAAAATTTCTCTCACAGGAGTATGTGCCTCACATCCACATTCCTGAACTTTGCGATCACAACTGATATGACACAAAGGCCATATTTTATGTCATCATAAATATATTTTTCATCCTTTAATGTTATGCCTTTGCCACCTCAGTGCAGTTCTGTAGCATGAACTGGTATTTTATTTATTTTAAAAAGTATCTTAAAAGGTATTTTACACCTAAGTGCATCACCATATTTCCACAAGATGCAAGCTTCTAAAGCCTAGCTGTGGTGGAACTCACATTCTCTGAAATGGCTCAGCTATGAATTAAAAGCCAGTAAGAATATACATAAACTGGCACAGTAGCTCCTTCCATCCTCTTCAAATTACAGAAGAATCTGTTTCCTCTGGACAGACAGAACCACTTCTGGATTCTGACTGCATCTTGTATTCAGGAGGTCAAACATAGAAAGGAAAAGCCCTGAGCAACCTACCATGAACACACTTTTCACAGAGACTTACAGGAAATCCTTTAGTGATTGGAACCTCAATATTGAAGATGAGAACCCG